TATATATATATAAAATATTAATATTTAATATATAATATATATATTAAATATTAATATTTTATATATATATACGATTATGTTATATGTATAACATATAACAATCGATTATGTTATATGTTATACATATAACATAATATATACACAGCATAATCGATTATGCTGTGTATATATACATAGCATAATCGATTATGCTGTATATATATATACAGCATAATCGATTATGTGGCCAAGCATAATCGATTATGCAAGACTACATAATCGATTATGGCCTTGCATAATTAATCGATTATGTAGCCTTGCATAATCGATTATGCTTCCTTTGTATATGCTTCCTCTACTGCATGGCACACTACGCATGCATGCGAAGGGGCATTTTCGGGTTTTTATAAATCCTACGTGGCTTTCTTCTGCTTTCTTCGCTTTTGTGCGAGGACGAGAATCACGCTTCTCCCCCCTTTTCTTCGCCTTTTCGTCGTCGCAAATCACCGGAAACGAACAACAAGTTTCTTCGCCTTTCTTTGCTCGTGAACAGTAAATCCATGGAAACAAACACTACCTTAGTATTTAGGGTTTAGAATTTATAATTTACTCTTAAGGATAACCATATCATATCTTATATTTACACAATTTTCCTCTAAAGAAAAAGTCAATTTCTAATAGTTTATGCTAATGACATCATTCTCATTAGAAATGATAAAGAAGAATTAGAGAGGTTGAAAAAGAGTTTGGCAAAAGAATTCGAGATCAAGATTTGGCATCTTTAAGATACTTTATTGACATAAAGATTGCTCACTCAAAAAGAGAATTGTTATTTTTCAATAGAAATACATTTTGGACCTCTGGTGGAGACAAAAATTTAATCCTTCTTTCTTATTTTTATTTTCCTTTTACTCAAAGCAAATTTAATTTTATAGGAAAATTCTGTAAATATAAGATATGATATGGTTGTAATAACTAGTATGACCATGCTGATTTTCTGAATAGACCAGTTCACTATAACTCTAACTAATTTTTTTTTTTTTTTTACTTGTTCAAGATACTATAATTACTGAACCAATATTATTATTTGTTATATACATGATTGTACTTGTTTTTATAGTATATATTTAAAGTTTAATTATTCTTTGTCTATCAAACTTATAATTTTTTTTATATTTTAAATTAAAATTTATATTTAATTATTGTAATTTTAAAAAATATCATTTTAATTTTTCTATATATTTTTTTATAGTTCTTAAATTTAAAATTTGTATTTTTAAGTCTCTAAAATATCAAAATTACAAAAACTTTCAAAATAACAAATACATTCTTACCTTAAAAAAATAAACTAAACATTGGATGTACTAAATTTTTGCAAAGTTTTGCTTTCACCGTAAATATCATCGGCACAATCCAACCTTATTTTTTTTTCTTCTTACTTTTCTAACAACGTAAAAATTGATTCATTTTCAGTAATTGTTAGTTAACATGGTTTATAAAAATATTATATAGCAGTAATTTATTTTGGTTCAACAATTTTTTATAACACTATTAATAAGGCTTTTTTTGTAAAAAAATTATTAAGGTATATATTATTTTTATAATAAATTCATAAAAATTATTGGTAATATGTGAAACTCACAATTAACTTTTATAATTTAAGTTTTTTTTAATATTTATAAATATATTTTTATTGTGTTTTTTATTTTTAAAAGAAAAATACATATTTTTATAAATGTTTTATATAAAACTTTAGGATTTATATATTTGTCAGATAAAATCCTAGTTCTTAAAATCCTCTCGATCCTAACTCCATTATGCCATTCTCATTCTACCACTTTTGGCTCAACAGATGCAAAACGTTCCTTTCTTTCTCTCTTCAACTCATCACTTTAAAATCTCACTAAAAAACAATAAACAAGACAGATAGAGTTTGATTGAGTTCAGTGGTTCACTCAGCCGTTCTGGCAAATCAATCTTTTCATTTGAGTTATTAAAAATATATACATGAATGGGATGTGAGGATGATTGTTCCATTCGCATTCTAAAGCAGCATGAACCAGCCTGCTTAATTGTCTTTTTTGTAACATAGTATTAGTAGCAACCAAGAATTGTACTTTTTACATGTTCATGGTTTTAGGAGAGGTGACAGTAGAATTATGGAAAATTAAATTGAAATGTGTACGGGAGTGGATGTAAAGGTAGCAGGTGGTACACTGACGACATATATTATATTAACATATGATCCTAAAGTAAACCTAGAATTAAAATAGTATTAATATTGATTTTCTTATTATTTATATTTAACATTTTATTTAGAGTTATCAAATTGGATTAAAATATGTGATTTAATTCGATCCACCATGGATTTAAACAGGGTTGGGTTAGGAAATTTTGGTTCGTTTTAATTATAAGAAAAATTTGGCTAGACTCACCACGAGCCAACCCATGATGAGTTAAGTTGGTTTACAAGTTGACTCACCCAATATATTTTTTTTTATTTTTTCTTTTATGTTATTAAATATTAATTTATGTGATTATATATTTATATTATTACTAAATTTTGTACATACTAATTATGAATTATGATAATTAGTATCAATTTAATATTATTTATCAATATTTTATGTAATAATTTTGATTTTATAAGTTGATTGTGGATGATATTAAATTTTTTTTTGACATTTTATTTGTCTTATTTGTTAACATAATTATAATTCTAAAACATAATATTATAATATATATATATATATATATTTAATTTTTTAATTATTTTAGTTTAAGTGGGTCACCCCGTTTAATTAACCCACCAAATCTATGATAAGTCGAGTCGGTTTGATTTTTTTAAAACTCACCAATCGGAGCTGAATTAACCTATTTATAGCTCAATTTGTGGTGGATTAAGTTGGACGGGATTACTCATTTTGACAACTCTAATTTTATTAGTTATTACAAATGTATTTTAATTAAATAAAACCTAATTAATTTTTTGAAAACTAAACAATAAAAGATAATAAAAGGACACAATAATTAATTCAATTATAACTTTTTATTAACAAATCAATAACATTTAAATTTCATATTTATTCACATGTATTTAATGATTCAAAATTAAATATATTTTAAAGTAATTTAAATAATAAATTTAATTTTTCCATTTATAATTTTCTTAGGAGGTAAATTAGAAATTAAAATATTTGTAATTCGTGGTTCTAAATATGTCTTTTCTTTACGAGAAACTCACAATGCAAACAAAATGTCAAAACTCAAAAGTCCAATCTTGTAGCAGCTACAGCAATATTAATTTCAAAATATTTGATTTAACAAAAGGTGGCGACTAACAATACTTCTTTTGAAGTTCCTCTTACAGTAATTACGGTTAAAACCTTTATTTGGTCTCATATAACATTTTTTTATTTTAATTTAGTTTTACTTTAATTTTTGGTCTTAATTTAGTTTTCAATAATTTAAATTATTACAATTTAGAACTTCCATCCAAATAATTTAAATTATTATAATTTAGAACTTCCATCCAAATAATTTAAATGGAGTTAACTGTTGACCACCTGGATGTCACGTAGATGCATAAGTAGACGTCAAATTACATGAATACACCTGGAACCAGAACGGCCCGTTCTGAAACCAGAACGGACCGTTCTGCTTGTACATGATATGTGTTAATTTTGCAACTGGAACAAACTGTTCCAAATGCAAATTTCACACACTATGAGTGTAACCAGAACGGGCCGTTCTTAAACCATAACGGGTCGTTCTTAAACCAGAACGGACCGTTCTGAAATCAGAACGGGACGTTATGAAACAAGAAAAGGTCGTTCTGAAATCAGAACGGACCGTTCTGAAACCAGAACGGACCGTTTTGAAATCAGAACGAGCCGTTCTGATTTAGAACGGGGCGTTTTGGATTCAGAACGACCTGTTCCAGAAGCCAACTTCATGCATGCATTGACTAAAATGCCGCAATGTGATTCAAAAATTGAAAATAAAAATTCGTAACATATCATAAATTCAAAGATAGAAACATGATTCAAAAACTGAAAACAAAAATTCAGAACATAACATATACTAAAAAAGTTCAAAGAAATTACTGAGAAAGGAAATCATCTGGGTAACGCTCAAGGAAAAACATCGTTTTGTTTCATCCTTGACTGTATAGTATCAATTTGATAGTAAGTGATTCACTCCAGTTTGACTAACAATGAAATAAAATCTGCTACCATTGTCTTTAGTGATACACTGCATTGTCCTTAATGATACACTATATAACCCAATTGTTTAGCAATTGAAGTTATCAATTTTCATTGACAATATTACCAAATTTAGTGTTTGAAATACTTTGTACCTTGAGTCTTTTTTCTTTCACGATTCACAACCGTAAACTATAATTAGTGACCATTCGTGTGTGGTATTCTGGAACCAGAACGGACCGTTCTGGTTTCAGGTTTTTTCAGAAAATTTGGCGTCCACATACGCATCCACGTGGCCTCCACGTGGCCAACAGTTAACTCCGTTTAAATCATTTGGACGGAAGTTCCAAATTGTAATAATTTAAATTATTGGGGACCAAATTGAGACAAAAATTAAAGTGAGACTAAATTGAAACAAAAAAATGTTATATGGGACCAAATAAAAGTTTTAACCTATAATTACTCCTTCATACATATGATATCGGTCCTAAATGTTAATAAAATTATATTTTTAATTATTTAATATTTTTTTAAATATAAATCTAATTAACTTATCGAATATACAAGAAAGAAGTAGTTTTGTACCAATATATATATATTTGAATTTTTTTAAAAAATAATTATTAAATTTAAAGATAATAATATCTAATAAAAAAGTCAAAATTAAAAAAGTGATTATCAAAATTTATTCCTTATTGTGTAGTATAAATATAGAGATAATAGTATTTGATAAAAAAGTAAAAACAAAAACAAAGCTATCAAAACATGTCTCTTTTATATATAATAATAAGTATAACTTATACCTATAATTATTAACATCAAAATTTATATGATTTAAACTTTTAGATACCTTATATTAACATACATGCTTTAAACATCACATTTATAAGAGTTAAAAAATAATATAATAAATTATTAAATAATTTTATAATTGTATGAAAATTTATATACTTGATTTCATTAGTAAAAATTTAAAATACAATAATTGAATTGAATAAATTTTATATTTATACAAAAAATTATTAAATATTTAACTTTTTAACTCAAACATCTAGTATTAATAAATCTTAATTCATATTTACATGTACTTACATGCTTACACAAACACACACACACATATATATATATATATATATGAGTAAATTTTGGTAAAATTATTATACTCAATTATATTCTATATTGAATTTCAATAATTCAATCATTGAATTAAAATTTAAAAATTTAAAAACTATTTAATAATTTATTATATTAAATCAAATGAATGTATATTCTTAAAAATATATTATATGTTAATTTGAATTTATATAACAAAATATTTTGCAATTTTTAAACTTTATAAAAATTTATAGATTTGATTTATTAATAAAAATCTTTTAATTCAATAATTGAATTGTTAAAATTTATTATAAAACATGAATTATTGAATAAAATAATTATAAAAAAACTTACTCATAATATAAATAAAAAAAAAATTATTTTCACTTATATAAAATAATCGATTTTTTCACTAAATACAAGAGACAAATGAAACTTTCGTGACAAGTTAATTGACATGAAAATCAATAATATAAAAAAAAGCTATATACTATGAATATGAAACAATTTTATATGTAATCATACAATTATAAATTATTATTATAATAAATTTATTAACTTTTAAAATAATTATCTTTAAGTCATTCATAATAGTATATAATCATTAAACCTTAATAATTTTTTACCCACTATTTCTTTTTTTCTTCTCAATACTACCTGATGTTAAAAGTCCAAGCTATTTAGTCGAGCAAAATACATAGTAGAGTGTTTGCAAAATGAATTAAATTTCTTCCGATTTAAATGTAGATCTAATTTAATATCAATAATATATCAATATGAAAAGTCTTACAGTCTTAATCAATAAAAAATTATAATAAGTATAAATTGTAAAATAATTATTATAAAGTTTAACAAAAGTATGTATATATATATATATGAATAAATAAATTCATAAAAATTACATTATAATTAATCTGAATTTGTAGAATTCAACAAATACACATTTGTCACAGAAATTCAAATTGTAAGTATAATTTAAAATTAAAGATTATGAATCTGACGAGAGGGTGGTAATGTAGATGAAGATTTTAATGGAGGGAACAATATAGTCAGAGAGTTTGTTGGTTTTACCAACAGGAAACAGGTTTGAAAATGATATTGTGGTTTTTCCGATAAGAGCATTTATAAATGGCTATGACAATGACAGCGCCGGACTCAAAATCATTGATACTTAGCTCTCCCTTCCCAACAAATGAAACCAAACGCTTACTATCACCATAGTTTAGTTCATCCTTCACATCGCACTTCGCTAACTTTGTTGTATTTTCTATCTCTGGTTTTTCTCTTTTTCTGTTTTCTTCTTCCTGCGATTTCAGAATTTATTTCTTTTGTTTTTTTGTAATTCGAATTCTATTAGGAAGCTGAAAGGTAAGGATCATCCGAGTTTCGAGATCTTCAACAATGGGGAAAAAGCGTGCGATGACGCCGGCGGAGGATGTTGACTTGTCCTCCATCAAGTACGAACGAGAGGTTGTGCAAGGTAACTTCACTGCCTTGCTTCTTCTGCAATCAAGTTGAATGTTCAGTTTCTACTACAAACATTTGATTTCTTTTGTTTTTTTTATTTTTTTGCAGCTCCACATTTGACTGGATTTGTATTTAGATTCTTTGTGAGGATACTCGAAGCTCCGCTGATAGGCCCTATCATAATAAATTATTTGAAGAAACAAAATAAAATTAACCAGGTTTGTGTATGATTATTTTTTTCCTAGAAGTGTTTTGTTTCGGTTGTTCATTATCATTTACGAATGATACAACAGTAGCATAGCAAATTGACTAACTGTTGTCTATCTTTTTCTTCTTACGATTATGAACAGTTATTGCAGTACACTGTGATACCCGAGGAACCCATGTTCAAACCTGAATATCCACCTCAAGGTGGTTCTCTCTCCACATTTGTCAATTGTCAATTTGCAGTCTCAATATATTTTTATGTTTAAATTGTAGGTGGTCTTTTGTGTTGGGTTTACTTAAATTTTAAGTTATTTAAGATAATGGAAATTAGTAATTGTGTCAAATTATTTGCATTGCATTTAGGATGCTTATTTGTTATATCACCTATCTCGATGTCTGTAACGTTAATTTAGAAATGGAGCCCGATGTTGTTGTCCTTGAGGAAGATGGGATACCCGAAGATAGAGTTGAGTCTGCTTTGAAGTGTCTTCCACGTTATGATGTGGCTGAATTATGGGAAAATTCATCTGCATCCTTTCGGTACTGGAAAATACGTGACTATGCTTATGCTTATCGGTCTAGAGAAGTAACCCCATCATTGGTATGTAGCATTTAGTTGGTAATAACTGAGTACAGATTTCTCTTTATTCAAAAAATTAAACAATAAAATGAAACAATTTCGTGTTGACTATATAGGTTGCTGAGCACATCATCTCAGTTATAGAGGAGAATGCAAAAAATAAGCCTCCTGCACCACTATTGATATCCTTTGATGCTGCAGAAGTCCGGAAGCAGGCAGCAGCATCTACTCAGAGGTTTGAAGCAGGTAATCCTGTATGATTCGGATGCTTACAGTCTAAATCCTTCTCACATGATTACATTGAGACATGGTAGGAATAGGCATAGACAATTACCAATGTTATATTCTTGGACTTTGACTATGTAGGAAATCCATTATCGGTATTGGATGGAATTTTCATGGCCATCAAAGATGACATAGATTGTTATCCTCATCCATCTAACGGTAAGTACATCTTAGCATCTTACTTTGTCCAAATAATTGGAAAAAGCTTTGAATTTTCTTCTGATGATGACAGGTGCAACTACATGGATGCACGAGGTACGCACTGTAAAGAAGGATGCAGTCTGTGTTTCAAGATTGCGTAGCTGTGGTGTCATATTCATAGGAAAGGCAAATATGCATGAGTTAGGCATGGGTACAACAGGAAATAATTCTAATTACGGGTAAGTTTATTATATATTGTTAATTTAAATCTTGATGACACTATCAAGTATCAACATAAAGATATCAGTTTGCTTTACCTAATATATTTACAGGTTTTAAATGTAGTCCATTCTTCCTTCTTCCAAATCAGGACACAAAAGTAAAGATGCTTAGAAATGTCATGTTGACCACTTCACTCTGTTTTTCATTTTGTTGATTAGAAGTTTAGAACTATTATTGAAAGGAACAAAATGTTATATGCCAACACGATTGACTCTCTCCTATAAGAAAGGTTTATCGCATAAAGAAATGGAAGAGTAGGTGGGGATGGAGATTGCACACTCTTTGTATACAATGAAGATATCACGGGTAAGGGGATCTGCCAATGTGAAAGCTCGGGGCAGGAAGGGAATCTGTTAAAGGGATAAAAAGAAAGGGAGTCGGTTTGGAGTGGTAAACAGGAGTTGAGTGTGGGATTAGATTAGACAAGAGGTTACAGGTATATCAAATGACCTGTGTTGTCTTTTCTTCTTTGTTTTCTGCAATTACTGCATCCAGTTCCCTAGTTTCTGCAATTTGAGAAGAAGTTTCTATCACAAGGACATGTGTCAATAGACTCAAAAGCCTTTAGGAAATTAGAGGAGAGTTTTCTACGCCATTAATTGCCACAAATCTCTTACATAACCTTGAAAACTGTTTTGGTTTGCTAGTAATTTTCTTATGTTCTTCATCAGAATATATGCCTGTTGAATGTTGATTATTCAACTGAATTTTCTTGAGTTGCAGAACTACAAGAAATCCTCATGCCCCTGATAGGTATACTGGTGGATCTTCTTCCGGTCCAGCTGCAATTGTTGCTTCTGGAATATGTTCTGCTGCATTGGGAACTGATGGTGGAGGTTGTGCAAATCTAATGTATTAAACTAATTGTTTGGCTCTATTTTTTTCTTCATAATTTATTTTTAAAATCTTGGAAAAGGGCAGGTTCAATCCGTATTCCTTCTTCCCTTTGTGGTGTGGTGGGATTGAAAACAACTTATGGTCGGACAAGCATGGAGGGGTAATTTCTTGCACTACGTGATGGATCAATCATTACCAGCTATTCATATGTCCTCAAGAAAGTGTTTTTTTTATTATATTTTTTATTTTATAGGTTTTTTGATCACATTGTAGGAATAATTATATTTTGTGATCCTTTGTACTATATGCCTGAATAGTATTTGTATGAAGTCTCCAAAAATCTTGACATGCCAGAGTTTGTGATATTCATTATTCAAATGGTTATAATTAAAAAAGAAGATATAGTAATGAAATATTTTGTTGTATTAGAAAACAATTGCAATGTTTGACTAGCTAAATTTGTTAAGTCTGAAACTCCCACATTCTTTTTATTTACAGGTCATTATGTGATTCTGGGACTGTGGAAATTATTGGACCCATTGCTTCAACGGTGGAGGATGTCATGCTAGTGTATGCAATGCGTATTTCCTCTCTCTCTTTCATGCTTCTTCTTTTACCAGGTCTTTCATTTGAACTGACTGCTCTCAATTTTACACGACTCAAAGTTCAAGCCATTTTTCATCAATCCTCCATTAATAGGAAGTTTCTTTCTAGATTTACTTACCCTGGTTCTCTTCTAATTCTGTTTTTTAGCCAACTCCCTCTTGGTTGTTTAAGAATTGCTACTATTTCTATTAACTTACATGCTAAAAGCTTAGGCAAGTGTCTTTTCCAAAGCTTATCATTGTTAAATAATGCTTGATTTTAATTGGGTTCAAATTTTTCATTGTGCAAAATGGTGTTTATATATGTAGAAACTTTGTCTGGGAACTTCAGTACTAAGTAAACAGTTTATTCGGTAAATTGGCTATTAGAATCTAAGAGATAGTTTCAACCAAAATAAATAAGATGCTCTCAAATTAATGCAGCAATGGGAACTAAATGAGTTACAAGCTTTAATTCTTGTACAATGCCTGGGGTAAATTATAACATCCGCGCCACTCTCTGTGGTTTACACTTTATACCTCACTTTTGTATGTTTGCTTTTATTTAACTTTAAAACTCCTTCACATTGGCAGAAACTTTCCTTGGCTGATCATTGCCATTATTATTATTGCGCATATGTCGGAAGTACTGTTGTTCCAGATACAGCTTCTCAATTGAAAGTTCTCCTATAATATTATTGACTTCTGCTCACTGCACGGATATTTTTATTTAATACTTGACTCAAACGAGGGGTTACTAAATTTCAGTGCTTTTACTTTCCCTCAATTACACATATACTTGACTTCAAGGGTACATGTACATATTGGCACTTCTAGTTGTTTCACTTGTTTGATTTAGTAATTCATTTTTTTATATTAAGTATAAAACCTGTATCACTATGGCTTGCTTCTTGAAGATATTTAACAGATATTTTTGTTCCTAATGATTCAGGTATGCAGCAATGTTGGGTACATCACCTGCAAGTAAAATCAGTTTGAGACCGGTATATATGTGTGTGTATATATATATATATATAATTTTTTTTTTGTTGGGGTAGGGGTGGGGGGAGATCCAATTCTTTAATCCTACTGTTGATATTCTCATTAATAAGAAAAGTATATATGATGAACTAATTGTACATGGTAGAAAAGAGCGAATTAGCACAGTTCAATTTGATTGGGGTACATAGCTACTATTAGAAATAGCCTGTTCTTAACGCAATCACAAAATTTTGCTCAAGTGAGGAGTATTGCCCAAGTTGTAAAAAATCTACTTTGGCAATATTCCTAGTTGATGTGGCACATCTTACCACACTTTCCTCATGTCCAAGATTGGGCACTTTATGAAGTACATCTATGAATAACCAAACATATAAACTAGATATAGATAGGCTCTGGTGCTATATTAGAAATGGAGTGTCTCTAAAAGCTAGCTAAGGGATGGGGGGGGGGAGAGGATTTCTCAAGTCTAATAAAGACTACTTTGGTCATATTCCTAGTCGATGTGGACATCTTATCTTCCTTTCTGTATTCTCTCAATATACCTAGAATCACAGGATCTGATATCTTTGTGATACAGTCCTTAATTTCACCATTAATACAGTGTTTTCAATTTTACTTTCACATTTAATTTTGATCATTATACCTAGAAAAATAAACATGAAAATAGTTGTGGCCGATGAAGAACTCATTCCACCAATGGATGAAAACAATAGATGAAAAATATGAAGAAATCAAATGGAGGTGAAAGAGAAGGAGGGAAAAGTTCTCTTTGTAGGTGGGTCATTAGTTGTGACTGGGTTTTGTGGAATAATTGCATAAGTGCCCCATGCAAATGATGGCTTCCCCTAGAAGCGTCTTGTAGTGCACCAGAGGGTTTCACACACTAGTAAAATATTGTTCACTTTGAGTTTAAGTCCTCACGGTTTTACTTTTGGACATCACCTATGTTCATCCTCTTGTTTGAAGGATGTAAGACTTTGATTGTTTCCTAAAAATCTTCCCTTCAAACAAAAGACCATGGTTTAACTCCCATTTGTAGCAAATACTATCAATTCACGAGTATATCTGATGGTGGCTCATAGAGTTGAGTCACGCTCTAAGTAATAGCACCATTGTTCCATCATGTTAACTCACGAGATAGCGGGACATGCCTTCTAACCCCCATGTTATCGGGAAGACTCTCTTCCACACATAGACTCACCATTATGATGACTTTTGATACAAGGGATCCTATTACCACCTATCAACTCCATCATACTCGTTGAGTCGCTCACTTAATTGATCGTTGGCTCTGATGCCACTTATTGTCCATTGAACTCGCCAACCGGTCACCTAATCAACCATCGGCTCTAATACCACCATGGTCCTTCGAGGGAAGAATTGTTGGGATACAAGCAAAGTCTTACAACATTTCAAACATAATGATGGACATGAGTTTATATATATACAAAGTCCATTGTTAAGAGACTTTTTAGGTGATGTCCAAAAGCAAAATCATGAAGGCTTAAGTCTAAAGCAGACAATATCTTACCAATGTGGAGATAATGTGTATGTGTGAACTCTCGACACACAACACATCTGTAGGAGAAGGAAGAAAGGGCTAAGATGGAAAAACACAAAGGGAACTTATTTTTAAGGCTTGATGGACCAAGCCCAAAGGAGTAAGGAGAAGAATTGGAATTCTGGATGAGGAAGTTATTTCTTTTCCAAATTAGTGAGTCCATCACTATACAATGAAGTGGGAGGAGGAGAAGCAAACTAAAAATCACAGCAATTGAGTTGATCCCATGTCCTAGTGGGCCAAGTCAAGCAAAATGAAGCAGAGGAGCTTGGTAATCATCAGCTACGACCACATATAGTAGTGCAGTTGGCTAGAGAGCCCCGAGATCTTCTTGGTAAAACTACAATGGTTTGGATGCTCTGTTTCATGGCCAAAAATATTGCTGAAAACAGAGTAGTAGAGAAGAATGGAGCATATTCTGTGAAGACGGGTATATGTTCTTCTCTATTGACTATTCAGAGCCAAAAATATTGCAGTAAGCTGCTTCAGACAACTTGAGCACATATGGGACTTTATTTCAGCAGCCACAAGCTGTTTGCTCTGAGGACAAGGTGAATGTTTAGGGGGAGAGTATTGATACGTCTGTTAGTTGAGGGCCTTAGTTATTATGGGTCAGTTAGCCAGTTAGCGAGTCAAGTGGCTGATGATGTTTATAAATAGGAAGAGGGGTCGGGAGGGGAGTCATATATTGTGTGGGAATTGGTAAAGGAATCGGGAGAGACTTGGAACTCTCGAAAGTCCAGGGGAATGTTCATTTTATTGTTTTTGCTTTGTTCATGATTCTGAAACACATTGGCGCCAGGATTGACAATTAAGGTTCATAATATATTTCATTCCTTCATTTGTATCTGAACCAGTTTCTATCATAAACCAACTCTTGTTCAGTTATTCTATACTTTATTCTCTAATCTCTATTACAAATTTTTCCATTATTTAGTAAGGATGATGCATGTATTTTTGTGTTTATTGTAGTCACCACCTTGTTTGCCAACTCTGTCATCCAACGAGGATTCAAATGTCTTGGGATCTTTAAGAATAGGAAAGTATACCCCGGTAATCACCTTATCCTTTCAAAAACGATTTTTTGTTCGGTTTGATGTGATATACTTTTTTTCTTCTGAATTATATATTTATTCTTGTGAAGTGGTTTAATGATGTGCATTCAACTGAAGTATCCGATAAATGTGAAGATGCTCTTAATCTGCTGTCAAAGGCATATGGTTGTGAAGTAAGTTCATCACCTATCATGTAATGCACTTTATTTCTAGATAAGCATGATAAATTTAAACAGGACTAAGTGGTGCAAATTTCTCTATTATTTGAAGATGATAGAAATTGTTATACCAGAGCTTATTGAGATGCGAACGGCCCATGTTGTTTCCATTGGCTCTGAATGCATGTGTTCACTGAATCCTGATTGTGAAGACGGGTATGTTTGACTATATATTGAAACTATTTCGTTTTGTTGTCCAATTTGTTAAAAGGACATCCTTCTTGTCTGTTATTAAAAGTGGTTAATATTAGGCAGTGGCTATAAAAATTTATGGTGGTTTCCTTTATTTTTTTTTCTTTCACAGGAAAGGTGTAAAATTGACATATGATACTCGTACAAGTTTGGCACTTTTCCGGTCATTTACAGCAGCAGATTATGTTGCAGCCCAATGTATTAGGTGAGACGAGAGTTTATAACAAATATAACAAACTTATGTTCCTTTATTTAAACATCTTTTACTGATGACATTGGAAAATGATATGGTACAATTTCAAAAATAACTACTATCACAGATTATCTGATGTAAACCATACCCAAAAAGTTGTGTATGTAGCTTCTAAATTTTAATGTGAATGTTTCAGACGGAGGAATATGTATTACCACATGGAGATTTTCAAGAAAGTGGATGTCATAGTAACTCCAACAACTGGGTATGTATAATATGGTAGATTACTCCTAGAGTAATAGACCCCTGCACTTTGCCAAATTCAGTTCAATTGATCTAATGTGGGTTTGCTTTTCCCATAAAAAAATGTGGATTTGCTTTTTTTTTTTTTGTTTTTTTTTATAATTCTTTGAATGACTTGGAAATTAGTTTTTACGGTCTGGATAACAATATATATGTTTTCTGGCATTTGTTAATTTATTGGTATGACTATAGGTCATATTTTCATAATAACATCAGAAATCTACTTAGCCTATGCTGATATCCTGCCAAGAAAGAAAAAGATTAGAAGACAAACTGTCCTATCAGATGTGATGATTTGTCTCTGGTCTGTTCTAATAGCAGCAGCTTTTGTGGGTTGTAATATTTATGGATAATCTTGGGGATGGTGGGACTGAAAAAGATTGGGTCATTGATATGGAAACAGATTTTTTCAAATTCAACTACCTCTTATTGTTATGGCTGGAATAATTCATATGGAGGAACTGCACCTGAACTGTCTTTGTTTGTAACAGCATGACAGCACCCAAAATTCCTCCTAGTGCTCTTAAAAGTGGTGAAACAGATATGCAGACTACAGGTAATTAGCTTCCCCTTTAAGTTGCCGCTTCAGGATATTTTTCTTCTGTAACGATTTACAAAGCAGCATTGTAATAAACATTATAATTGATATCACATATTGTTGTTACTCGTGCACTCTAATAATATAAAAAACAAAAAAAACAAAATTTAAGTACAATTTCTTAAGTATTTTTATACTATTCTTCAATTAAAATTGATGTTTTCATCTCAATAACTAATGCTAACTTTTAATTTCAACCTTTATTACTTGGTTTATTGAGGTGAGATTCTAATTTTGATTAGAGAATAGTATCAAATGTATCTAAATTTGCACTGAAGTTTTGTTCTAATATAAATAGATGAGCATAAGTAAATGAACAAATTTAAATCAATTTCCTCATTATTAAGTTTTCAAATCAAAAGATGACCATACAGATGATGATTTTACTTACATTAAATAGACTTCATTAAGAATGATCCAGAATTCAAAAAGAAAAAATAAAATCTACTTGTCATTATTTAATTTGAGAACTTAATAAGCATATAAGGAATTTATCTAAGTATTGTCCTAAGTATACTTTTCCGTTGATATAACATGAGTTAATGAACAATTTTGACTTTGGGAACAAAAGAATCAAGTAAAAGTTTGCCCCTAAATATAGCCGTAAGACATTAAAATCTATTTTTATCGTTGTTGTCCGAATATTAAGTGTCACAATGTTGGTTGCAATTATTTATATATACTAAACATTGTGGTACTCCATTCGAACAGGCATTAGCACAAAACATCGTTAAAATTTTCGGGTTGGATCTGTATTGAGGCACTGGTCTCTTGATTCATTAATCATTTTTCCCTATTAGAACATAATCATTCATGTCTATAATGTTATACCATGATTGCGGCAACTCTGCCTGTCATGTAATAACTTGTCTCAAGATATATGTTAACTCAAAGCTTGTTTTTCAGCTAACCTTATGCAGTTCGTTGTTCCAGCAAATCTTCTGGGATTCCCTGCCATTTCTGTCCCGGTGAGTGAGAGTGAAATGAATCAATTATGAATAGTGGTTGTTATTTTGTTCCGAAGAGCACTCGAGTTAAATGCCATTTTTATAGCTAATAGAATGGTATTTGGTCAGTTTGGATAACTTTTTCAAACAAGCATTTATAAGAGAAAAAAAATGATCGACAAAGTAAAATGAATTAAACTTCTTGCTTGCATAAGTTAAAATCAACCTAATATTTTACTGATCTTTTTTTAGACTTTTGTAAGTTAGAATTAAATATTTATCTGAACCCAAAAGTTTTAATGAACCAGAAGTTATTCCAAACTGGGCACTTATCCTATTTTACTTTGTGCATGTTTGAGAATTAGTTTAATGTAAAAAAAAAAAAAAAAAAATTACGGTCAACGCCAAAGCAAAAAAAATGTTGCTTCTTGATTTCCTGCTTAGAAATTCGTGAAATACCATTTGCATTGACGCCAACAAGTTCCGAAACATGCACTTATTCATTTAACTAACATGTTTTGTCAATAGGTCGGCTACGATAAAGAAGGACTTCCAATAGGTTTGCAGATAATGGGTCGACCATGGGCGGAAGCTACTATTCTGCGTATAGCCTCTGCAGTGGAGGTACGTATATTGTCATGCATTGATGTAAAAAAGTGCTACTACCACCTTGGCCTCCGCACTGTGTGATATATAAATTATCTTATCATTCTATCCATTATTGTTGAAATTATATATTTTTGGTAAAAGTTTTACCTAATTTATTCAGAAACTCTGCGGTGAGTCGAAGAAAAGGCCCGCGTCATACTATGACGTTCTGAAGGCTAAATGAAGCTCAGATGTTTTGGCTGGTTACGGTTTATAAATGACCGGAGACTTGCTGGTTATTATTTGGTAATCGCTATCCATTTAGAAAATGCTCTGGATGCTTTCATCCTCGGGCTATCTTATTTCTCCAAAGGATTTATAATTTGACAAGTTCTTAGGAAATAATTTCTGCACACATGTTTAGATAATAACGGGTGAAGGTAACGTGCAGATTGTCAAGATGTAGAAGAATATCTGTGCAAGAAATAGAATGTTCAGCATTGCTCTTAAAGATTATAATTCTTTGTTATCGGATTTGTATTTCATATTTACCACATTGTTGTTCGTTAAGTGATATACTGAGCAATTATATATTCCGTGTTTAAATTTAACCTAGGGTCAGTCTTTATGACCATAAATAAACATGAATGAGAAAAAGAACTATGCACTGATCCAATCACAACCTATGATATTCAACTTTGCTGTAATTGTAATAACTGAGATCCGTGAGTTACGAGATTACTTTGTTGGACAAATGTTTCTCATAAAATATTTCTTGCTGCAGACAATCATAGCAATTTCAAGCGAAGCATAATTTGTAAAATTTGAAATAATCATGCTAGATTTCCTGAGAGTCACGATGAAAATATCTACAGAACCTCTTTTGTCGGCGTTCTCATGCGCAACATCACTAGAGGAGAAGTCCATCCCTGAAGGCATCTTGCCTCATATTTCTGTGGTTAATGCATCCTATCCTGTCACACTACAAGGTAATGATAAATCACGAAATCCTGATTGAGGTGAAAAGGGGGCTCTTAAAATTGTTTAGATTGTATTCATACCAATCAACAATGACCATGGAGCGAAGCTCGCAGTTGGCAAAGCTGCAAGGAATCGTGAAACCAGTCAATTATTCCGCCCAACATATTACAATACCAGTTACTAGAAGTCTAGAACTTAATCCCAAGTTTAAAAATTTAAAGCACCACATGAATCGGCATGCAACGCTGAAAACAACGGGAATAGTACTTTGAACTAATGCAAACAAAATTGGCGAGGACTGAATTATATTAGGTAATCCTTGAAGGTGTTTTCATTTAAAAAGAATCACACATAATTAACTAAGTTGGCTCAAGAGAACGTGAATAACAAAAAACTACGTGCTTACTGCTTTGATAATTCTTTCTTTGCCAAGGGGTGGCTATAAGTTCCAAATGCGCTTAGAGTATGAAACAAAAATGCTCTATGCGTCACAATCGCTATTTCCTTCTCTTTTCTTGTCCCCAACCTGTTATGGAGTGAAAAATAGTCTCAACTGAATCAAACATATTTGACGGCAAGTTCCAGTTAGATACAAGTAATTGAAAGTAATTACAAGGAAAAAGAGAGAATATTTTGCTTTTTCTTAACAAAAACTTACATAAATAAAACTACCTATAATCACTAGATATCCAAATTAGTATTTGGTAGTAATTTCTATTTACTTACAAAAAAGTAATGTGAAGTTGCAAGAAAAAAATGTATATTTATTTCCAACAAAAGTTGCATAAATCTTGAACTACCAATAATCACTAGATATCTGAATTAATATATAACAGATAACAATACACCCGTTCGAATAACAACAAAGCAGTCAGAAAGAAGATATCTATTTATTTCTCACCAACAGACCAACACAAATGATACGTGACAGCCCGTAGAGCAGCTTCACACATTACTCAGCAGTATATAGTAACTAGTAACTACTACAAAACACTGAACGTGATAACTACATTAATTTCAAGAAAACCAAGTTGATCTTTCAATATATTATAAAGAGCAATCACAAAGTAGGAATATATCAAGTATTAACTATGTAAAACATTTAAGTCCAATTCTACTATTCTAGGGTATTTCCCAAATTCAGTATTGCTGAGGTAGCAAATTTTTATTTGGGTGCTGGGCAGGGGGTTAAGGCCCCTACTAAAATACCACTGCACGAGGTAATGCAGTGCCAGATGGGTCCTGCCGAGGCAGCAAATCAGACATTTAATATTGTACCAAATTAATATAATTCACAAGTGGAAGAGAAGGTTAACTTTTCACAAAATACATGGAGTCCTTTAAGACTTGGATGTGTGTCCTCTAGTGTCATCATAACTCCTACTCCTAGGTGCTCACTCAAATAAGGTGTTTTCTCCCCCCTTCTCTCCCGTGGTTATTATGCATAGAATGAAAAATGCTAACAACATATTTTCTAATACACTCTTTTATGCACATACTCTACTATTTATTGAAGTTCATTGAAAACCACAAATTTGTCTAGGTCTTACTACTTATTTAATGAGTCTGTCTCCTTATTTTGTAATTTGAATAAATTTTAACCAATACCAGAGAATATGAGAAAGATTGTAGTGTTAGTACTCAATGCACAATGACAGTAAGGAGATAAGAGTTTTTTTAATCAGATTCACCTGACTGTTACTTAGTGGTTTGGCAACTTTAAATGTGTATAGCTGATTATATTCCTCAAGTTGGATCTAGTAGTCAGGTTTAATCATGCAATTGGTGGGGTTAAAGAAGTTGATTGGGTTAGTAAAGCCCAATGGGAACAATAAAGTAAAAACTACAATTTACCAGTAACTAAATCATACCAGTTCATGAACTTCAGCCCTCTGGCTGCAAGTTCTTCCTTTGTCTCTCTAACATCAGCCTTCCACCAAGTATCCTCATTACTGTCTATCTGAAAAGAAAATAAAAGAGACTTGGCAAACCCAGAGAAAACAAATTATAATTTGTCCAATTTTCGTACAGCTAAGCAAAAATGTTAGCAGTCTTCTATGAAATCATAAACCACAAGGGTGCATAATGCGATAAAATCTAGGTACTTGCCATTGAAAAATCAATTGCAGGAAATAGAAATTGATACTCGCTGATGCTTCTTCTTTTATCACAGGGATGAACTCCCTGCATTAGAAAACACGGAAATATGTGAGGGTCCATATGTTGACGTCAATAACAAGAACAACGAAGCTAATATAAAAATGTGCTAAAATCATCTTGAAACATAAAAAGCTAACTTCTGACAATATCGTGGTGGGGGAAAGAAAATGAAGAAGTAATATTTGTCTTTTATTAGTTATTTTACATGCATCCCAAAATTAAAATTTAAAATTCAATCCGTGATTTCATATTTTTATACATTAGCTACTCAATGACGTTGAAAAAATTTAATCCGTCGTTGCTGTTCAGAATTCATACATTATATTACTTGCAGTAGCCATTATAGTTGGTCGATGATGTCATTAATCTCAAACTTAGAAAAATATCAAAGATTGTTCTGAAGAGGATATTGCACATTTTTGTTGCATTCAAGTCTTTATTAGAAATAAAAAAATCAAATTTATTTCATTCAAATTGTGTAAATGCTCAATGCCCACTAACAACTACTTCTACTGTTAGGCTAAAGTTGGTCAAGTTTTTCCATTATATATCAGCATCCCTAAAATGCCATATTGTCTGAGTAAATTGAATGAAGTTATTATATCAACTAGATAAAACTTGTGCATCGAACAGACCTACAGAGTTACAAGACAAAATATAATTAGAATTGTTTGTTTTCTGGAGGGAATCATTAGAAAAAAAAAATAAAATTAGAGATGGGCAATAATTTGAAATTCATGTCTTAAAATTGAAAATAAAGGGGACTTGTGTAAATTTTATATATTATAGGCAGGGATGCC